GGTTTAGTTCAGGCAAACCCTTGCCCTGTGGTAATACACTGGCTGCTAGGTAGGCTTTGCCTGGTCAAGCCTGGTCCACATCCACAGTGAGTGAGGTTAGCTCTGCTTGGTGTCACCTGCTCTAGCATGACAGGTGCCATGTGGGAGTTGACTCAGCCTATGAAACAGGAAGAGTGAACACCAACAGATACTGGAGCCAAGGGGTGCTCTCTCTCTCTCTCTCTCTCTCTCTCTCTCACTGTGTGTGTGTGTGTGTGTGTGTGTGTGTGTGTGTGTTGTCTTAGTCTTATTTTGCTGTGAAGAGACACCATGACCAAGGAAACTTCTATTAGCAAGACAAAACACAAGCATGTAATTGGGGCTTGCTTACGGTTTCAGAGGCTTAGTCTGTTATTATGGTAGTACACATGGTGCCTATTATGGCAGTACACATGGTGCCGGAGCAGTGGCTGAGGACTATATCCTGACCCGCAGGCCAAGGGACCAAGAGAAAGAAAGAAAAACACTGGGCCAGGAGTGGGCTTTTGAGACCCCCAAAGCCCACCTCCAGAGACACACTTTCCAACAAGCTCATGCCTCCTAATTTCCTAATTCTAGTCCCATCAAAGGGTTCCATTCCCTGCTGCTTAAGCTTTTAAATATATGAGCCTACGGGGCCATTCTTACTCAAAATACCACATTGTGTGCCCCCACAGGAAACAGGGGTTGTCCTTTGAAATGGGGAGTGACTTCCAGGAAGCCGCAAATAAGCAAATATTTATTACCCATAGGTTAGGTGAGGAACAGGTGCAGGGAATCAGGAAGCTCAAGCCAGATACAGAAAACAAAGTCCTTTTCAGGGAGTATGGCTGGGGCCACTTGTCCCTGGAACGTAGTGCACGACCTGCCAGGGCCCTGTCTTCTGCCTCCTGGCACAGCTTTGCTCTGCCTTCCTCCCCTCCCCCCCTCTTTTTGACCTCAAACACCTGCTGTTTGAGGGACCAAAGGAGGTGTGTACTTGGGGCATCCTCAGAATACGACTGGGGACCTGGCAGGTGAATCCCAGGTGACAGGGCTCTGTCTGTGATCTCTCCTCAGGAACAGGACATTGAAACCCTACATGGCTCCCTGCATGTCACACTGTGTGGGACCCCCAAGGGCAATCGTCCAGTCATCCTCACTTACCACGACATCGGCATGAACCGTGAGTTTGGAGAGCCGGGTCACTTGGGGCTGGAGGGAGTGCCAGCTGGGGATGGCTAGTGGAAGTCAGCCGCTCTTCTGGTTTTTGTGACTTGGAGCTATTCCAGAAGGGACTCCTGCTTCAGACTGGAAAAACATGAATCACACTGTGTGTGGCCCAGTGCTTCTAGTGCTGGATGCTCTGTGGACAGGAAGCAAGTACCTATGCTACCTAACGACCTGTTACAGTGACTTAAGAATTAAGTGCCACAAACAGCCTTTGATATCACCACAGAGGTGTGTAGTCAGCAGCACAGCCAGCCCTAGGATTCTGTAGTCACTCTATCAAGAAGTCTTGTCCCCTTTCTCCATTGTCCTTAATCTTGCAAGCTTCTCAGCCCTCTGAGGATGCCCTTCTCCTTCCGTATGTCTCTAAGACTCTCCTAAGCACACTCCCTCCAGTGTGGTCCTTCATGATTGGTTCATACCTGGCTTTGTCCATGTCTTCAAGATTTCTGTGTGTGGGTAGCCTTTGGTAGTATTTCACTCACGCCTACTGAGTGGAAACCACACTTATTTCTCCAACAAATCTCATGGTCAGGCCTGTCATAGCAATACGCCACTCCCCCAGTACCAACGTCTGTCTTAGTCACTGTTCAGTTGCTATGAAGAGACACCATGAGCAAGGCAACTACTTGGGGACTTGGTTACAGTTTTAGACGTTTGGTCATGGCATAGAGCATGGAGGCAGGCAGGTGTGGTGCTGAAGAAGTAGCTGAGAGCTACTCCCTAATCTGCAAGCAGAGAGAGAGAGACTTGGGCTGCCACGGGCTTTTGTGAGCAGCCACGTGGGTGCTGGGAATTGAACCAGGGTCCTCTGGAAGAGCAGCCAGTGACTGCTCTTAACCACTGAATCATTTCTTCAGCCCGACTTGGGCTTTTGAAACATCAAAGCCCACCCACAGTGACACACTGTTTCCAGCAAGGACACACCCACTGCAACAAGGCCATTCCCAGTCAATCTAATCTAATCTAATCCAATCTAATCTAATCATCAGTACCATTCCCTGAAGACTAGGCATTCAAATACTGTAGGGGGCCATTTTTATTTAAACCACCAAGCCCCAGGGTGGATATTTGGGTTCACTGGACTTACTGTGTTATACACAGTGTTGTAGTGAATGTTGACACATTGGATTTTTAAGATGACAGGAAGTAAGGCAGGCTTGATGGTCTATAGTTGTCATCCCAGCATTTGGGAAGCTGAGGCCAGGGGATCTCTGTGAGTTGGAGACTCACTAACCTAGACTACTTAGTAAGTTACAGGTCAGCCTGAGCTACAGAAAACAAAGCCAGGCACGGTGGTAGTGGTGCGCCCTTCTCTAATCCTAACCTTCGTGGAGAAAGGTAGGAAGATGAGGAGTTCAAGGACAGCCTCAACTAAACAGTTGGCTATTTTTGCTTCAGCCCTTAGCAAGTGGGAGGCTCATTATTGTACTAGCCCCTTGGTGATATGCCAGAGAGGGGAGATTTCAAGGAGCTTAGGGACCAGTTCCACCCTGTACCAGATCTTAGCTCTGACTTCTTCCTGCCACCTGTCACCAGAGGGAGGTCTGCGGGTAGGGTGGGCAGACTTGTACTCTTTCTTGGGAGGTAAGATTTCACTACGTGAAACTGTCTAATGTAACTGGTCTACAACGCTCTGTGTGTAGACCAGGTTACCTCGAACTCACAGAGATGCACTCTTCTGGGAGCTCTTCCCTGCTACTGCTGCTGCTGCTGCTCCTAAGTGGTGGAATAAATGAGTGTGGTTTGCTGCCAGCCCACTCTCCTCACTCCTTTCTCATGTCCTGCAGACAAGACCTGCTACAACCCGCTCTTCAACTCCGAGGACATGCAGGAGATCACACAACATTTTGCTGTCTGCCATGTGGATGCCCCTGGCCAACAGGATGGTGCCCCGTCCTTCCCAGCGGGGTAAGAGCAGAGCCTCCCCACCCCAGGAGCAGGTGGGGGTGTGTGTAGGTGGGGTGGGAATTGTCAATCAATGTAAAATAAAAATTAGCCATGGTAAATACTAGATTTACTCTTTCTCTCTTTTTCTTTTCTTTCTTTCTTTTTATTTCTTACCCCCAAAGCCAGAGATAGAATAGCTCTTCCTGCTAGCCACCTTCTGAGTCAAGTGGCTCCTGAGTAGCTGACAAGACTATAGTGCCAGGGCAGAGGAAGCAGGGTTATGGTGGGGTGTCCTCAGAGAGTGGATGCTGAGGGGTGCCAATGTTGCATCTGTGTTGCTTTGTGGAGGGGCCAGCTGGTGTTGGGCTTCCGGAATGTCCTGGTATGGATGACTTGTTTTCTTTGAGGGTCTGATTTCTCAAGATCTGCCTTCCCATGTCCCCCACAGGTACATGTACCCCTCCATGGATCAGCTGGCTGAAATGCTTCCTGGAGTCCTTCACCAGTTTGGGTAAGAGCAAGGGACCCATTCTTCTAAGGTTGTTAAGGGCAACTGCCAGCCCCCTTCTCTTCCTTGGCATGACCACTAAGATGATCTCAGATGAGTCTGGAAGGGAGCTTGCAGCAGCCTGGACCCACTGTTAACACCCAGCTCATCATCTGTGTCCCGCTGACTGCAGCCTTGCTTCTTGAGTGGCCCCAATGCCCACCCTGTCCTCGCCTTCTGGTCCCATGGCATATTCCTGGAATAGTGTTCCCTGGGAGCTTGGCTTCTCTCTCCAGACGCTTTTCATCCTGCCTTGCAGGCTCCCCTTTCTCTCTCACCGCAGCTTCTCCTAGGGTTAAACCCCATGGTTCTGGCCCAGTTTGTTCTCAGTCCAAGTTTTGGAGACCAGAATAAAGCTTGGGATTGGGGTGAGGCAGCTTCTTAATGGGCCTTCCTGGAAATGCTAGGCATCTCAGAGCCTTGGCTGGCTGCAGCAAGGGGAAAAGGAGGGATGAGGCTCCCAAGGTCACAGCTCTGGACTTGGAGGGCACATGAGGGCAGCCTGCCTCTCATGGCATGGGAAAGCTTGTGGGCATTCCTCAGCAAAGATATCTAAGGGGTGGAGCTCTTAGGAGTAAGTGAGGGGAGTTTATTGGGGCAGGCAGGGGCTCCATCACATTTCCCTTTAGTGATGTGATGGTTCATTTGGCTTCCAGGCTCAAGAGTGTCATCGGCATGGGGACAGGAGCTGGTGCCTACATCCTGACCCGATTTGCAGTAAGTTCTTCTACAGTTTGTAAGACCACATTGAGGAAAAAAATATTTAGGGGCTGGGGAGCAAGCTCAGTAGGAGACTGTTGCTATGCAGGCACAGAGACTTGAGGACCGGAGTTCGAATCCCCAGAATCCACTTGGAAGATAGGCATGGCTGCAGGTACCTGTAACCTCAGCATGAGCCTGGGGCGGAGTTAGGTAGAGACCCTGGAGAGGCTAGGCTAGCCTAAAAGGAGAGCTTCCTATTTGATGAGAGACCCTGTCTCAAGGGAACACAGCTCAAGAGAGAGCAACAGAGATAAACGCCCATGCCTTGCCCTGTCTTCTGCATGGTTGTGCTGGGTGTGTGTACTTGCACACTCATGTATGTGACACACAGAGAGACACAGATAAATAAATAAATACATACATAAAATTTGAAAAATATCAAAAAGCCCAAACAGGAAAAGAAATGAGCTATACTTCCATTCCCCAAGGGAGAGCCACTGGGGCCACTTGTGGCGTGAGCCGTATTGGTATCTGTGCTTGTCCATTCATACTAACAGCTGAAATGCCACAGTGTGACAGGGTTTTGGTCACGGGCCTTGTCCCCTGAGTAGGAAATGCGGATGGCTTCCGACTCCACATCCTCAGATCCTGCAGAGTTTTGTGACCCAGGTCCTCTGCGATCCTGATGGGAGTCTAAATAAAAATGAGACACGCATACGCACATGACAGTGCCCACTGCAACACTGTGGGTGTCCTTCTTGTCTTTGCCGGTTACCTTTAAGTGGCTCTTGTCCCTCAACTCAGGGTGTTTCAATGCCTGCTAAGTGCAGCGCCTTGAAGTTAGCTTGAGCACCAGCTTCAAGTAGATGCTGGCATGGCCTTGGTGTCCTAAATACACAGGCATTGCAGGTAACAGAGCCACAGTGCATTTCCACGCCCTCCTCACTTTGATGTGTCTGGGCATCTGGCGAAGCTGAGGCTGGGGACATGAGGGGCAGGTCCCCAAAGTGTGAATGTATTCTTCTGTGGCTTCTTCCTCCTTGGGAGGACCGGATCCACTTCCAACTAGGCTAGAACCTCAGCTCTGCACCGACTATGCCAGGGAGCGGTTCCCACGTGCTCCAGGCTTCCACTGTTGTTGGCTTGAAGGCCTCTGTGTTTGTTTGTCTCACGGTTGTGTCTCACGCTGTGTCTCTGATTACAGCTCAACAACCCTGAGATGGTGGAAGGCCTCGTGCTTATGAATGTGAATCCCTGTGCAGAAGGCTGGATGGACTGGGCGGCCTCCAAGGTAGGCTGGGCAGGGTGGGCAGGCAGGTGGGTGGGGTCCCAGCCTCCCCCCAAGGGGGTGCCGCCTTGGCTCCACTCTTCCACTTTCCCTCCTGCCCAAGAGAGTAACCTTCCTCCGCCCTGTTTTGGCTAGCAATCATTTGCTGCTCAGGTCTAAGTCACTCTGCCCTGGCTGCTGTCCCAAGAGTCCCTCTTGGGGTTTTTGTTTTTGTTTGTTTGTTTGTTTGTTTTTTAATTTGTGTTTGCTTTATTTTTTTCTGTAAAGTCCCCAGGGATCTCCAAGGGTAAGGAGAAACTTCCGATCAGGGTGGGACCAAGCCTCTCAGGCTGGAGCGATTGGTCTCTCATTGGAATGGGGGTTTTGTTAGTTTGGGCAGCTGTTGAGGAAGAGGGCATGAGCCATGCTCTCTGCCTTCCTGTCTGCCAGGTTTTGTGGTTCTTCCTAAAGCATCGAGAGCCTGTAGGACAGCCAGGAGCAAAGCACCCTCCCTGGTTTTTAGTTTATTTTCCAGTCAAGAAAGGGACATTCCATTTGGGCCCACTTGGCTGCTGTCCAGCTGTTCTGAGCCAAACAAGGAGGGCTGGACACTGGCTGAGATACACTGTGGTTTTAATGAATTCCCATGTCTGTCCCTCTGGCCTTGAAGGACCGCCTGCGTATCTAGGGCCTAAGGTGTGCTGGACCTGAGTGTCAGAGCCTGCCATGTCTGGCCGCCTTATTAGATCCTTACTGTGGGAGCCTTGCTACGTCCTGATGACATGGTTTTTAACACCTCCAGTTATAGCCAAGAGACTTGAGGTCCAGGGCCTTTAGCCAATCCAGTGCTGCTCAGCTGCGGGTAGCCATCAAGCCAGTTCAGGGCCCCATGTCAAATGTTCATCTTGCTTACCAATCTCTACCCAAGTGTGCTATCCCTATGGTGTCTGCCTTATCTTTAGAGCACCTATGGTGTACATGTAGCATTTATACAGCTCCTGTTGCTTTGGATTTTATGCCACCATCTGAACATTTATTGAGCACCAGCTGCATACTACCGTGGTTTTTTGGAGGTGGTGTGGGTAGTCATTAGTGAATTCCGAGACTTCAAGGAATTCACAGACCAGGAACTGGGCTGGAGGGGAGAAGCTAGGGGATGGTGGGGGGGGGAGGGGTAGTCAGGGTTGAGCGGACCCTGCCCTGTGGATAAGGCGATCGATCGATCACTGCTGCGTTGGGGTGATGGGGCCTCTGTGCCGAGAACTTGGTGAGCCTCGGGGGCAGGAAAAACTTGGCTTAGCAGGCCTGTAGTGTAACGATAACTCTTTCCACCAGCCACCTGAGTTTCGCTGCCACTTTAGGGCTCCCAAATAACACACAGTTATTAGTTACAATGCTGCTGGCCAGTGGTTAAGATTTCTTATTTGCTAGCTCTGTCTTAAGTATCAACCATAACCATTAATCTATATATTTTATAAAGACTTATCTTATCGAGGACTCCAGTGGCATGCGTCCTCTATTCCTGGGGATCACATGGCGACTCCTCTTTACTACATTTCCCAGAATCCTCCTCTCCTAGTCCCGCCTAACTTGCTTCCCTGTTGGCCAACCGTGCTTTATCAACCAATAAGACAAACATATACACAGAAGGACCTCCCCTATCACTGTGGTTCCACCCCACTTGCTATATGCCTCCTCCTTGTGGGCTCTAAGAGGAAGGAAGCAACTGGATGGAAAGCCAGGCCAGGCCTGCCCTGGGCTGTAGGTTCAGGAGGGGACCAGAGACAGGAGCAGAACTGTCACACAGCAGATGTGTGCTATCCAAGATGTCTGAGATAACGGACTTGTGTTAAGGAAGTGAGGGCTCGCCAGTTTAGAGGACTTGGTCCCTATAAGACAGTATGTCCTGGCAGTAGTCTAGCCACCTTGTGGCTCTGGGCAAAAACAAAAGAAACTACTCCCATGTCCTGGAGGTCTACTGTGGGTCTCAACCTTTTAAGGGTTCCCCCTCTCCCAACAGTTCTCGAGCAAGCCTTCACTCAGTTGGCCTACGGCACACATCCCAGAGTCAAGCTCTGGCCAGGCTGTCCCCGAGACCTGGGCGAGGCTCAGGGAACCAGGAGTCACTCTGCCCCCAGGGCCCCAGGCTGACTTTCTGTCTCTGCTACCGAGTCCTAGTTGTTCATTTTCCTCCATTCGCCCTCCATAGATCTCCGGGTGGACCCAAGCCCTGCCGGACATGGTCGTGTCTCACCTCTTCGGCAAGGTGAGTGGTGTGTGTGTCCTGCTGTCCCGCACGGAGCATTTAACCATGTGACACTCAGCATGGAGCTACACGGGGGTGGTACTCACATTATACAATCAAGGGGTGACCCAGGCTGAGGTCTGTAAATTATTGTGAAATATTGAGTCACCACCAGCAAGCCATTCACACTGTTTTTCTACCCACCCCTTTTTAGAATTTCATACGAGTGTGACCATACACATTCTATACAATCGGCTCAGGAGCCCTATGACCACACATTAGTTCTATTTTGAGGGGCGATATTTCAGAACAGACTGAGCCAGGAAAAGCGTGACTGGGATCTGAACTTGTGAGTTTGCCTACAGCATCCACCTGTGCCCGTTTGCAGGGCAGGCATCCTTGCAGTTTACCGGTGGCAGGCCTGGCCCCTGCCTCTGTCTGGGGTCACAGATCTGACCTCAGTCAGAGCCAACAGCCCCGAGAGAGGATGTACTTTTGGCTCACATCCAAGTCCAGTGTCTGGAAAACCCCTTGGTTCTGCTTACTGGGTGGAGCAATGTCTGCTGCCCAGCTATGTCTCCCAACAGTTCTGGAGCAAGCCTTCACTCAGTTGGCCTATGGCACACATCCCAGAGTCAAGCTCTGGCCAGGCTGTCCCCGAGACCTGGGCGAGGCTCAGGGAACCAGGAGTCACTCTGCCCCCAGGGCCCCAGGCTGACTTTCTGTCTCTGCTACCGAGTCCTAGTTGTTCATTTTCCTCCGTTCGCCCTCCATAGATCTCCGGGTGGACCCAAGCCCTGCCGGACATGGTCGTGTCTCACCTCTTCGGCAAGGTGAGTGGTGTGTGTGTCCTGCTGTCCCGCACGGAGCATTTAACCATGTGACACTCAGCATGGAGCTACACGGGGGTGGTACTCACATTATACAATCAAGGGGTGACCCAGGCTGAGGTCTGTAAATTATTGTGAAATATTGAGTCACCACCAGCAAGCCATTCACACTGTTTTTCTACCCACCCCTTTTTAGAATTTCATACGAGTGTGACCATACACATTCTATACAATCGGCTCAGGAGCCCTATGACCACACATTAGTTCTATTTTGAGGGGCGATATTTCAGAACAGACTGAGCCAGGAAAAGCGTGACTGGGATCTGAACTTGTGAGTTTGCCTACAGCATCCACCTGTGCCCGTTTCTTACATGGGCTGAAGGCAGTGTACCGGTGGCAGGCCTGGCCCCTGCCTTTGTCTGGGGTCACAGATCTGACCTCAGTCAGAGCCAACAGCCCCGAGAGAGGATGTACTTTCGGCTCACATTCAAGTCCAGTGTCTGGAAAACCCCTTGGTTCTGCTTACTGGGTGGAGCAATGTCTGCTGCCCAGCTAATGAATGTGAAGACAGTGTGATTACACCCGAGTTTCAGGGCAGCAGAAAACACCCTGCTTTGCTTTGGTGTCACCCTGGGCTTGTAAACAGAAATGGCTTAGAGCAACCTGAGGTTACCATCACACATTTCAGAATGTCCTCGAGTCCCTTGAGGCTGGCTGATGTCCCCAAGTTGCGCTGTTATTTTAATCAGATCCCGTAGACCATTGTCCCCCGGGATGTCTTTGCCATGGCTTAGCATCCTTGCTGACAAAGGGCCCTTCCTATCTAAGTGTCAGGGGCAGGTAGCTCTGAGGTCTACCGTGAAACAGGAGTCATGAGTTCAGCAGAGGCTCCTGAGGGAAAGCTAGGCCTCCCTGGCGGGCTCCTTCTGGCTGTCATTAGGAGCCACTCGGCAGTCTGCACTGGGCACCACAGACGTGCCACGTCCCCAGATCACGGCTGTCTCTGCCTCGGCCGCCTTCTCCCTCCCGGTCGGTCGCTGTGTCTTGAGTGGTGACAAGCCTTCCCCATTCTTCCGTCTATCACCACAGGAAGAGATTCACAGCAACGTGGAGGTGGTGCACACGTACCGTCAGCACATCCTCAATGACATGAACCCCAGCAACCTACACCTCTTCATCAGCGCCTACAACAGGTGAGAGCCCTGTGCAGGGGTGGGCTCGGCCGCGTCAACCTGGGGGCCTCAGCAGCCTGCAGTGGAAGCGAAGGCCGGGCCTGTGCAGCTGTAGGTTAGGAGGGTGGAGCCCGGGAGGACAACGCCTGGCCCTCGGCACTGAGTGACGCTTCTATCCGGACTGTGGCACCCCATGAGTGGGGGGTAGCTGCGCAGTCAGGGTAGAGAGCTGAAGTATGTGTCCGTGGCTGGCTCAGGGTAAAAGCTGCTGCGGGCAGAGCTGGGAAACAGAAACAAGGCGGGAATGCGGAACCCTGGAGGCTGCTGGGAAGAGAGTCTGCCCAGCTGAGGATAATGGAGCTCCCCTGGGGGGGAGGGGCTACACGGGGTCATTAGCATCAGTCAAGGTTCTGGGACCTGCACTCCTCAGCGTGGGAGGCACCTCACTCCCAGCACAGGGGCCAGGGGTGCATACGTCTAACCTAGGACAGTGCCTAGGACTTAAAACCTCCTGGAAGTGAGTTTGCATTTGTAACGAACCTAGCATTCTGGTGCCCTTTCCACAGTCCCGTCAGCATCTCAGTGCAGGGGACCTGTGGCATTCTCACTGCCGTCTGAACATGCAAACGGGTACCCAGAAAGAGGGATACCTGGCTGGACAGTGGGAATCACAGGACAGGTGTGAACTGGGCCTTGCACAGCAGCCGATGGAAAAGGGCTGTTACTGAGACCATTTTTCCTGGAGAGGAAGCACGGAAAGGTTTAGACTTCTTCCCAAGGCCACACAGCTAGGAAGTGATTTGAATGTGATTTGAATTCTGCAACGCTAGCTTCAGTCTCAGAGGTTCAGAGGGCAGAGAGGTCAGGCGCTCACTCACAGGCAGGGACCAGGTCCACACTGAATCTCTGCTAGCAGAGTGGCACACCAGCGCAGGCTTTGGAAGACATGGAGAGCAGGCTCGAGTTTTGGAGATGGCTGCCTGTGCTGAGGCTTCAGAGCTGCTGAGGCCGGGCTTCAGTAAGGAGCTGAGGGGTGCCCGGAGGCCATTCTGGAGCTTTTGCAGTGGTGGGTACAGGCCCTAGCTAGGGGGACAAGGAGGCAGGAACCTCCAGTGAGGACCTGTTCTGCTTTCCTGCAGAAATATATTATTAATACTGACAACAAACTTCAGGCAAAATAAGGAAGGTTTTGCTAGAAACAGATGAGACCTGTTGGCTCTTAACATTTCGATGGACGCTGAGTGTCCATGGGGTCGTAAGAGCTACGTGATCTCATAAAGATGATCTATGGGCGTTCTTCTAGAATGGCCTGTGGTGGGACCTCCAGGGCTGGCATGGTGGGAGTGGCTTCCGGGGCGGGTCTGCCCGTGCTAACCATGCACATGTTGTCTGCAGCCGGCGAGACCTGGAGATCGAGCGGCCAATGCCTGGAACCCACACCGTCACCCTGCAGTGAGTAACTCCCTTCCCCAGTGTGGCCAGGCTGCCATGCTGCACTCTGGGCTGCTGCTGGGTGTGAGAAACGCCACCTTAGGGAGGAACACTTTGGTAGAGAGTGTCTTCCCCAAGGCATCTGAGCCCAGGCAGAGGGTGCTTTGGAATGAAAGCACTAAGACACGGGAATCACTGGGCTGCAATTTTATATGGAGGTATGAATAACTTACTAGTCCGTTTTTATTCAAAGTTCAAAGCTGAGGATGGTAGCGTAGGGGCCATAGAGGTGCAAAGGGTGCCAGGAAACCTAAACAGCCTTTTAGAATCCGGCTGCAGCCCGGAGCTGGCGTGTTAATACCCTGTAGATGGGTCCTGGGCTGACTCCTCTTTCCCTGTCCTGTGCAGGTGCCCTGCTCTGCTGGTGGTTGGGGACAACTCTCCTGCTGTAGATGCTGTGGTATGTATCAGTTCAGCCACAGGTGCTGTGTGAGTCTCCCTGCCTTCCCCTCCCAGTATAAGGACATTGTTTAAATGCCACAGCAGCCTTGAGGCAGAGCTCAGGCCAGCTTCTCACTGTGATCACCAGTCATGGCTGCCTGGCCATCTGCCTCCCGTCCCTCCTGCTTTCCATGGGCACACATCTATGTGACGGGATTACGGTTTAGTTTCATGGTTTAGTCTCCAGCAGGTGGGCCTTTCCTTCTGCTCGTCAGAAGAGCGATGCAGGCAGTCAGGTCAGGCAGAGCTTTCTGCCTCGGTTTACCCTCTGGGGAGACACAGAGGATGTCTACTCTTCGGCATCGCCACACCTGTGGAGATGTGTGACATGAGCTGTTGCTCAGAGTCCAGACTGTCTTGGCTCTGCCTCCGCAGTTCTCCACAGAGCTGGAAGTACCCTGACTTGTCTCCGGGTCACAGAGCTAGTTGTGACAGGGCCAGGGTCCAAAGCCACGTGTGTTTAACAACCCAAAGCCTACCTCTTTCATGGCCAAAGGAATGCTGGTGTTTCAGATGGTGGGGAGAACAGGGATCTGTCGACTTGGGGCTGAGTCAAGTACTTACCTAGTCTTCCTCCTTGTTTAGGTGGAATGCAACTCCAAGTTGGACCCTACGAAGACCACCCTGCTGAAGGTATGAGCAACAGTGGGGCTGCAGTGGGTGTGGCTTAGAGGCGCCATGTTTTGGGGACTGAGCTAAGCTTGTTGAAGCATAGAACTGTTGTTAGATCATTAAAAGTAAGCATTTGGAGTTGGGTGCCGTGCATATCCTAGCCCTCCAGAGGCAGGGGAAGAACCTCAAGTTTGAGGCTCTCCTAGGCTACACACAATGTTCTAGGCTAGCCCAGACCCCATCTCTGAAAGGGAGAAAGGAAGGGAAACACTGAAATAGGGTGTTAGTTAAGGAAGCAAGCAAGCTTAGAGGTGATCTGCAAAGCCAAGTGGTCCATCCTGGGGACTAGACTGCAGGGGTCTACACACTTTTGTCTGGAGCAAGATAGGCTGGAAGGATAGGACAACAGTCTCTTTCCTAGGGTGGGGCAAGGACATCCCTGTACCAGGCCCCTGGTGCAGTGAGAGGCCAGGCAAGCCTCCTCCAGGGATCTTCCGAGTTCAGAGTGATTGCTACCTTGTGTTAGAGATCTTCAGAACCCCCACAGCATGCAGTCAGGGCTGTTTGTACACCCAAAGCCACCCGTGTGTGGCAGCTGTGTCTGGACTGTGCTACAGGCTCAGGCTCCTTGAGGATCTCCCCACTGAGTATACTCTGGAGGCTGGAATCTTGAAAGAACCATGAGCAACCATGGCTTCCAAAATGGCACCGTTGAGCCCTGTATGCTTTTAAGGGTTAAACGGAGTGGTCTGTGGGGCTTGTTGCTGTGTGTAAGCTTTAAGGAGTAGTTGCCAAGAAGCATAAAGGGGTGTACAGTCGACAGCATCATCCAATCACAGTCCAGGGCAGTGTCGGGTGGGCAGTCCTGGGGCCGAGCACAGATTGCCGCCGAAGCTATGGCCTTCGTGTTTGGTGCTAACCAACCTCCCTCCCTTCTAGATGGCAGACTGTGGTGGCCTCCCTCAGATCTCTCAGGTGAGTGAAACTGTGGCTTTCAGCACCCGTCACCTCCCACTGGTGGGCTTCGTGTGCTTTTGTGTAGCCTATGTGCTTTCTTTCCCACACTCCCTCTGGGTGGAGTCCAATGGTGGTTTATGCATAATACCTTCTTCATAAAATATGCTTTTGGGGGATTGGGTGACCCTGAGGTCCACAGGCTTATGAGATTGTCCAGATGGACATGGTGTGGCCATGGGGTCAGAATCACGGTTTTCCTGCCCTAGCCAGGGGCCACTGGGAGCTCAATCCCAGAACAACAAAGGGGCAGAGAGACTATGGCATCAAAATGTCCATCTTCCTTTCTTTCTTCTCTTTCTTTCCACTAATATCTTCCCATCACTGTCCTTCTTTCTACCCAACTAACCGTCTTACCGTCAACCTGATGGGAACCACCTCAAGCACGGAGTTCCTGGCATGGAGGAACTGGTTCACCCATGTGACCCTTGCTTACTAGTTCTGGTCTTTAGGTAGACACTAGCCAGTCCATCTGCTCATCATCTCTGTCTGTGCACCCAGGAGCACCGGTCTTGTCAGGCTGGTAGCAGGTTTCCTGGAGATAGTTCTGCAGAGCCCCTAGCAGGCCAGGTGACTCATGGCACCGGGCTTTGAGCACGGAGTGTGACTTGGTCCCATAGGGAGTTGAGGATATGACTCAGAAAGTGCTGGAATTTATCCATGATCTTTCAGCCATGAGGCAGGTTGCGGGAGTTTTCTTTTGTTCCGCCAGGTCCCGCCGCCCTTCTCAGCCCCTATCCCCCCAAAAAACATACAGACACTATATTAATTATAAAACTGGCTGATGGCTAGGGCTTCTTCTTGGCTAGGTCTGTCTTAATTATTAGTCCATTTCTATAAAGCTATATATTTCTACATGGACTTATCTTGCCGGAGAACGCCTGGCGTGTCACATCTCTCCCAGTTTCCACATAACTCTCTGGCAGGCTCTCCCTGCCTGTCTTCCCCCAAATTCTCCTAGCCCTGCCTATCTTTCTGCCTCTACTGGTTATTGGCCAAACAGTGTTTTATACATCAATCAATAAGAGAAACATATATGCAGAAGGACGTCCCCCATCAAGGCAGGTTGGGTGACATTTGTTCCTGACCAAGGCTGACTCTGGTCCCCACAGCCATCCCTTGGTTCTTGCGTGGCTTCTGTCCCTATGTAGTGGCTCCATTTTGGGCAGAGCTCTGGCTTGCAGGTACAGGTGGTCATGGTGATCTGGACCTCCAGTCATTGACCTCATACTCTCTCTCTCCCCTACAGCCCGCCAAGCTTGCTGAGGCCTTCAAGTACTTTGTTCAGGGCATGGGATACAGTGAGTAGTACACCTTGGGCACCAGGTGGGGATGTGGGAATGGCAATGTCACAGCCAGCCAGGGGAGGGAGAGGGCTCTGTCATCTTGGTTGGCTTTAGCTCTTAAACACTGGGGCAAGTCTGAGAAAGGAGTCATCACAACCATGCATGTCTGAATGAGGAATACATCAGCAACCAGTTTGGTTACCACGAGGCACACATCACACAGCATGTTGACACAAACGAAGAGGGTGATGGCTTCTCTGAGCCCTGTGGTCTCAGAAGACCTCATCGTGTATTCAGTCTGTTTAATGAGATGCCATTATGTTTGCATGAACAGAAGATCGGACCCATTTAAAGATTATTTGGGGGCAGGGGTGAGATAGAATATCCCTATTGGTCAGGCTGGTCTTTAATTTGTAATAATCTTCGTGCTCAGTTTCCCAAGTGCTAGGATTACAGGGCAGGAATTATACCAGGCTAGGACTATCCCTTTAAACACTCCCCCACCCCTAAAAATAATGATCAACAGCTCAACAAGGAATGCCCCTAATTTTGATTACATTCTTGCTTGAGAGACCAGAGTTGTAGCAAAGGAGGGGAGAAAAGGTTAGCAAGTCTTTTCTGTTTCCTCCTTTAGCCATTACAGTAATCCTACAAGGGAGGGCCTAAGCAGGCCACAGGGGTGTGTGGGAGGCCAACGAAGCCAGAGACCCATGTAAGAGGGAGACCAGAGTGCCTGAGACTAAAGGCAGAAGAATGTGTCCTTGCTAGATCATTAAGTCAGGGACCTAAAGGACACCACAGCCTGCTTCAGGGACTTTGTATTTCCTGCTTCAAGCTTAGAGTGAGTTTGTCACTCAGCAGTCCTTTTTTTTTTTTTTTTTTTCCCAGAAATACCAAGCTATGACCAGGGCTCACATGTTTGGCTGGGATGGTTCACTGACTGGGATGGTTCACTGACTTTGGCTGGGATGTTAGTTGTGGCTCTGGCCCAAAGTTCTTCCTGCCTTCTGCTTGGAGTTACCATCCATGCATCCTTAGCTGGAGAAGTCTAACCTTGTGTTTCTTCCCTACTTTGCCTATTTGGGGAAGCACCAGTTTCCCAGCAAGATACGAGTGCCTCAGACAAGGTGTCCATCGCTAGCTGTCCATCACCAACAGAACACAGTTGCCTGTTGACCTGATGGAAATGGGAGAGAACTGCTGGGCAGTCCAGTTTCCCTTGCTGGGAGTGGATCACAGCCCCTTTGCTGTGTGTTCTGGGAGGAAAGGAAGTAAAAGCTAGGCCCTGGTTGTCCCCAAAATTTGTCTCACATCTGTCCCCAGTTCAGTGTGACAAGGCTTCCCATAGACCTTGGGGAAATAATAGGAAGAGTCACAGACCCAAAGGTGTTGCCCAAGGGGAGGTTGCTGATCACAGGGTGTCAGCCTGCGATGCGGAGCTTACAACAGGGCTAGTTCATTGTGTGTCTGGTGTCAGGGGAAGTTGCTGTTTCCGGGTGAGGTCATCGGGACTCACGGATTTGGGTGGAGAAATAATGACTCGATGGAGAAATAGAGACATACGAGCCACAGATGTGCACTGACCCGGTTCTTTCTGAATTAAAAATAGGCTGTTAGTTATGTGGTGATACAGGACTGTCATCTCAGCATTTGGGATGCAGAGTCAGAAGGGTCATGTGGTTCGAGGTCATCTCAACCACACAGAGTTGGAGGCCAGCCTGGGCTAAATGGAGCTTTACTCATAAAAGAGAGAGGGAGGCAGGGAGGCAGGGAGGGAGGGAGGGAGGGAGAGAGAGAGAGAGAGAGAGAGAGAGAGAGAGAGAGAGAGAGAGGGA